CATGCCCCCACACCTCTAAGCACCTGTCTCTTCAAGCTGCTCGGGTTATTGTAAAGATGGTCACCCTCGCTACACCTCGGAGTTGGATCCAGTCTACGTTCTAGCTCCTCACTTGAACATCACATGTTCTCAGTCTGCTAGTCTAAGTGCCCTCTGCCTTTAAAAAGGGGGGCACTGACTTGAGCAGAGATCGGTGTCCTTATAAAATGTCCCACATTCTGATCTGTTGTTCTAAATTGGACACACACACACACACACACACACTTGCAGACACACGCAGGTCTTATAAACTGAAAATTGACTATTGAGGATTGAGTTCGGGGAAGGGTTTTTGGCAGAGCCACTTCACAGGACTTCAGTCTTCTCACATCCCAGCAGAGGCATGTTGTATAAATGTCATTCCCATGATCACACAAAACGCAGCCACTCAGTTAAGGTGGCAACAGTCAGAGCTCTCTCTTTCACTGAGAATACAATACTCTCTGGGTATAGCTGGCAGAGGAGATCTGGGTAGGCACCAACACTACCTGCAATCAATACTCATCAATGGATACTGTTTTAAAAGTGTAGGGTGCCCACCCAATTGTTAAGACGGCTTGGTGGTGGGGGTGGGGGGCTCTGAGAGCACTTGGTGCTTTGTCAGAGAATTGGAGTTCTGATCCCAGAAGCCAGGTCAAGTGGCTCATAAATGCCTGTAATTCTAGTTCAAAAGATCCATGCCCCTTTCTGGACTCCACGACATCTTCACACACACACACACACACACACACACACACACACACACATGTATAGACACACTCATAGATACACATATAACTAAACTAAACTAAAATAGATCTTTTTCAAAAGAAGGCTTCTGTGGAGCAAAGTCTGAGCTCACAGGGCAATTTTGTGAAGTCTTTCCTAAGCAGGACAACGGAACCAGAACACGGAAGTGAAAAGACTGGTGGGTTTCAGTATTTGTTACATTAGCCCAGGAACGCAAGATTCAACAGAAGAAAATCAATCGGTGTAAAAGACACTACCAGAAAGAGGGAGATGCGACCTTAACAGACAGTGATAAAATATGTAAACAAGCCCAGGCCTCTTCGTAACAACACGGGTCACCCAGAAACCACACACACATAGACGGGAGAGCCCTCAACACCGTAAGAGGAGTATGAGAGCCCCAAACTCACATCACACAAAGGTGAGGGCCTGGCAGTGGCCCTTCTAAGATCAGGAGCAGGCCAGGGGAGTCATAAAACATTGTATTAGAAATTCTAGCCAGAGAAAATAAGCAAGAAGAAGAAATAAAAAGCACCAGGATAGCAAAGATAGAACTAAAACAGCAGAAGAAAGAGGCAAAAGCTTTGCGGGAACAGTGGCATGCAGCTTTAATGCCAGTACAGGGGCAGGGGAAGGAGGATCTCCGTGAGTCTGAGGTCAGTCTGGTCTACAAGGTGAGACTCTGGTCAGGAGGAGAAGGAGGAAAGGAAGGAAAGGAGAGAGGAGGAGAGGGAGGAGGAGAGGGAAGAGGAAGAAGGAAATGGAGGAGGAGAAAGAAGGAAGACGAGAGGGAAGAGAAGAGAGAAGAGGAGAGGAGAGGAAAGAGGAGAGGGGAAGGAGGGGGAGGAGGGGAGAGAGGAGAGGAGGAAAGGGCAAAGGAGAGGGAGGGAAGACAAGGAGGTGAAGAGGGAGGAGGAGAGGGAAGAGGAGAGGAAAAGGGAAGGGGGAAGAGAGGGAGAAGAAGGAGGGGGGAATGTGGAAGCAGTGGCAAAAACTGCATTCACAGATTTCGTGGAAATCCCCCCAATTCATAAAAGCTAATATGCTCACCAAGGTTTCAGGATACGCAAGACTGACATGTAAAATGACATTGAACTGTAATGAAAATCTCACAAATCAATTAAGAAACCCAGTAGGAGATCTAACCAAGGAGGTGTGTTAGCAACACCCCGCTGTGATAAATTACCTGATGAAACAACTTTAGTTAGAACAGGGAGGTGGAGAGGGGAGGGAGGGAGAAGGGAGTTCCTAACAGACTTTTTTCACCACAGGCAAGATGCAAAAGTGGCCCAAATCCACCCAATGAAGCTGGCCTAGGCTCCCAGAGGGCTGGTGAAGACCAAGGCCACAAGTCCCCTGGAGGCTCAAGTCTTGGGACTTGCACAAGGCCATGCTGGCACTTTCTGTGTTGCAGGCTGGCCTGACTTCAAACAACAGAGAAATAAATCCCAGCCTGTGACATGCAAGGCAGCAAAGTCACATTGCTGGGAGGAGCAGGCTCCCTGAGTGTGACTCCTCTGTCCCCATCTGCACCGCAAGCCGCTTCCCCTCTCTCTGGAAAGACGCCCTGCTCACTCACTTTCTGTTTCTGCTCTGCTAAGGGCACTTGGTCATGGAAAGCCTTCCCTCAGTGTTTCACGCTCCAGTCAGATCCACAGAAGCTGAGTACTCAGAGGCGGAGCCCACGCCTGATGGCTGGTGCTAGTCCTGACTCCCTTCAGAGCTGCGGAGTCATGGTAGAGTCTTGACTGCCAGAGCAGCTCCTTTCCCCCTTAACAGCTCTCCCCTCTCCCCTACCTTTTCATTTTCGATGAGTCTCCTAAGCGATAAGTGACATACGTCCTTTTAAAATTTTTCATATGCCCAGTGCGGTAGAGCGACCCTTTAATCTCAGCACTCAGGAGGCAGAGGGAGGCAGATTTCTGTGAGCTCAAGGCCAGCCTGGTCTACAAAGTGAGTTCCCAGCCAGCCAGCTACACAGAGACACCCTGTCTCAGCAAACAGAACTACTTTTCTTGACTGCCGGGGTAGGCGAGGGCAGCCTCTACAGTATTATTGTTTCTGTAACCAGAGAATTTATAAACTTAAGTACATTTTGGCATCAGAAGGTCTGAAGTAAGCCTGTGTCTCCACCTCTGCCCAGCCAGAGGAGAAAAGCCACCTAGGGTACCTTTGCTTTATTCTTAATCTCAATAGTGAAGGCCAAGCAACAGCTGGGGGAACACAAAGCCATTCTTGCCCAAGAGCTCCATTGTCTGAATGGAAGCCCAGTAGGGACAGTGATGACTCATAGGTCTCCAATAAAGTTTCTTCCAGTCACAGTTCTCAGGGTGCTGAGGAAGGGACTTTTGTCACCAGACCCAAGTCTGGCTCCTTCCCTTCCTTCCTCAGAGGCCATGGAAGTAAAGACACACTGCACGTGAAGACAGGGACCGGCTCTGAGGATGAGTCTGTCCTGCAGACAGCAGCATGAAATCGCCTTCTCAGACCCGCATGAAACAGGCCGCTCGCTCTTAGGCCTATTGACACGCGGCAAATGGGAGTTCCAGGAAGCTGGCTGACCGGCTGCTGCAGACTCCTCTACAGCATCTACCATCTTTAACTCAGTTTAACCTAGCACCCTCTTCTGGCTTCTACAGGCACTGCATGCACACACACAAAATGAAAACAAACAAGAACACACATAAAATAAAATGAAAACAAACAAACAAACAAGAAAAGACGTCTGCCCTGCAGCCACACACCATCACCAAGTCTTCTGTAGTTTGTGGGACTCCATCTCTGCTTTCACATGGCTGGCAGTGCAACAGACATGTTCACACAAACACAGGAATAACACACAGCACTGTGACATCTTGATATCTATGTTGCTACTTGGGACGAGGGCTTCCTAGGTCCACAGTAACCCTACAGACCCTTGGTTGTACCTGTGAAATGTAATCGGTGCACCTCCCACCATCTGCTTAGAGAAGGTGCCATCCCAGGACTCTCCAGAAGTAGAGAGCTTCAGGCCCCCTGGTCACCATGCCTTGGATTCCTTGGAGGATCCCACAGAACTGACCAGTGGGGGGCAGCATAGTGCTGCAGAGGCTCTGAGTCTATCGGAACCCTGCAGGGCAGATGGCAGTGCCCCAGGGTTCCAGCCTGAGATCCCAGCAGAGCCTAGGCCAGGCTGGTCAAAAGCCCCACAGAAGAGGCCTGAGGGGAAGGCCACACCCAGAGCAGCAGGCCTGTAAAGTCAATAAGGCTTAGTTTTTCTTCGTGGTTGGATCAGGTCACTATTTACTTAGTTCGTTTAGGGACTTCAAGACCTTGTCCCATGAGCCACACCTATTTTTACCCAGCAGAGTCAGCCTTGGGGTGAAAGCAGGAGCTCCAGGCTGAGTTTCCACCGCTGCCACAGCCACTGGCTGTCAGCTAGGAGAGCCCTCAGCCAGGGACCTCTCCCTCCTGCCACTCCTCTCTCCTCTTCCTCCTTTCCCACCCTCATCATTCTCCTCCTCCTCTTGCTTTTTTCTCCCCTGCTAATCCTCCCCCCCTCCCTACTCCTGATCCCTGGTCTCTGCAGGCTCTAGGACGTGCACTGCCTAGTTAAAACCAAAGAAAACAAAAGCAGCTCTTCATTCTCACTTCTCTCGGAACCCCAAACTCTCCTCTCTGGGGTGTTCGATTTTGACACAGCTCAATGTGCAAGTGAGGCAAAGCTCTGCTCCTCCCTGGGACCGTTCATCTCTGTTGCACAACGGAGAATGGCTTGCATCACCACAGAGGCCTGGCCAGTGCACACTCAGCACATCTCAGAGATTTCGGTTGCCTCTCAAGGACCTGTCCTCTGGCAGGGCTGCGAGGTGTGAAGGGTGCTGACCTGCAGAGACCCCCCCCTGCCAGAGCTAAAGCTTAAGGCTGACCGCTCCCAGCAGGGGGCCGCTCTGCCTCCTCCTTCTGTCTCTCCCATCTGTCTGTTCATTCTAGACCACCAGTCTTGGGAAAGCTTTGACCAGTCCTTTTCAGAGCACGGGGTCCCAGGCCTTTTGCGGCCCTTCCAGAGAGACAAGTTGAACTTGGACTCCTAGCTGAGCAGAGTAGCCTCAGGGTTACTGGTTTACCTTGGCCGTTGGCGTGGAGAACAACTCAGGCTTGCTTTAGAAGTGAAACTCGGGACCATGGAAATGAAGATGATCAAATTGAAATGACAGCTTTTATTTAAGAACTCAACACTTGAGGGCTGGAGAGTTATCTCAGCAGTTAAGAGCACTGGCTGCCCTTCCAGAGGACCTGAGTTCAATCCCCAAAACATACATGGTGGCTAACAATGGTCTTTAACTCCAGTTCCAGGGGATCTTATGTCCTCTTCTGGCCTTGTGGGCACTGCAAGTACACGTGTATACGTACATACATGCAGTCAAAACACTCATACACATAAAATTTTTTAAAATAAATATTTTAAAAAGCTCAGCTCTTTGGTAACTGTACACAGCAAGGATGAATCTGAAGCCATAAAAGTGCACACACAATTTTAGTGTGATTTATTCCCCAACTAACCTTCCCATCTCAAGCTGACCTGAGCCCACTATCCTTCAACCTGCATCTTAAATGGCTTCCCCAGCACACAGGGGAGTGCCACCACTGCCAGTCATTCTCAGCTGACCTCTGACCTCTGGGGAACATGAGTACATTCCACACTTTTTCTCTGTGAGGGTGACCTCCTCAACCCACCCTGTCTGAACTGTGGCTATGCTCTTTTGCACAAAACAAACAAACAAACAAACAAACAAACAAAACCCAAAACTTTTCACTCCTGGACAGGACAGCTCTGGATGTCCTAATCTGACCCAGGGAATAGGTTTGCTACCTGACATAGGAAGCCCAAGGTAAGGTTACAGCTGCTAGTTGGGGGAACCTTAAGATTGTCCTGGGTTACCTCAGCCCATTGCTGGTCTTCTGACATGAGAGAGAGGCTTAGAGAATGTGGCTAGAGGCCTAGGATTCTGTTGCTGGGACCTGTCACCTTCAAGTGTAGCTCTTGCCCCTAAGTGCTGGGCAGAGGAGAAGGTGTTGCTAGAGGGAGCCTGGAGTTCATCCTAGGGTCAGAACTGCTTCCCAAGGAGAGAAGGGCCAACACCAGTCAACAAAGATGTCATTCATGCTAAGGGGGGATGTGTCCCAGGTAGCCTGTCCCAGGTAGCATCTCTTCACCTCAAAAGGAGAGCCAATAGAACTGGCAAGAAGGCTCTGCCAGTAAAGGTACTTGCCACCAAGCCTGATGACCTGAGATCAATCCCACTGACCAACATAATGGGAGGAGACATTCTGACTTCTGGCCCTTGCACCTGCATCAAGGCATGCATGAGCTCTGCCCCCCCCCTCCCAACTACAAAGTCAGGGGAAAGTGTAGGTAATGATACTTTAAACTGCCATACTTCTGTATGTGCTGGGGACGGTCCCAGGGCAGAAGGCTGGGTCCTGCGTGTGGTGTTTGCCCAGGGCTTGTACATCCTCCTGTACACTTTATGTCCTCTCTGGGTAACGTGTGTGTTGTATAAACACTTTCTCTGCTAGATTAGTTACAGGGTAAGAATAATGTTAAAATTAATTGTAGTTTCCCCTAAATATTTCCAGTGTCTGGTTTGTCGAGTCTGTGGATACAGAACCCATGAACACAGACTGTATCCATGGCTGTTCTCTGAAGGTGTTAGTTAGGTGTGAACTTTGTAAACGCAGGCCATACATGGGCAGGCTTTGGGAGCAGAGAGGAGGCAGAAGGGTGGGGTGCTGGTTGACACAGATTCCACAAGGCCTGGATCACAATGCTCTTTAGAGGAATTGCCAGGTCCTCTCTCACAATTCCCGGGAGTTCCTCCTTTCTGGGAGCAGCCTCGGCTTACCTGTGCCCACCTTTTTTAGAATACATCCTGGTCCCTCTACTTCGTACTCTGGATTTGCCCTAACATGCTCTATAACCTTATTTCTGAAAAGACACTCACCTGTGCAGAGACAGATTACAAGAGACAACTATCCTAGCCTAATCCAGGAGATCCAAGAAAAATGGATTGAAGTCTGAAGGAAGTGTGCCTGGGTCCAACAGAGAGCTGGACCTAAGCCAGCAAGGGAATGTCCAATAGAAGAGACAAAGATGAGAGGAAAATGCTAAGTGGAGGCCACCAGTGACCTCAGGATGCTCTCTAAGCAGTGAAGAGGGTGGGGAATCCATGCTTTGCGCCTGCAAGGCTGTGAGCCTTCTTCCATTTTAACTTCGAAGCCTGCTGGGCAATTGGCAACAGGTCTGTCTCCAGGGGCACGGAGACTGAGTGGCTTCTCTGGGCGTCCCAGGCTCAGCATTGGAGATAATCCATCCGTAATCATTTATGAGGGAACCAGGAGGTTTCTACCTTTCCACTCAATCAGCTTTTCTCCCATTCCATTTCAAAAACCCATGAAGTTCTGGGAAGAGTGGTGTGGGCAGGAGAGGCTCCCGGAGGGAATCCGTGGGCTTCCTCTGGAAAGGACTTCCAACACTGAGCTGTCCTGAAGCGGCTGGGGAGGGGTGAGTCAGAGGCTGGTGGGAGAGCTTGTGAGAAGGAGGCTCCTGGGGTCAGCCACGTGAACCTCTGAGGAGCGAGAAGGTGTAAACTCACATACCCGTTTTCAAAAAGAAAGAAAAGAGAGGGCTAGAGCCACAGGGCAGTAGGAGAAGGTGAGCTCGGTTCAAGCTCCAGCACAGTCAGGAAATCATGAGATGGAATTCGGGATCTTTGTATAAAATAAAAAGTTTCGGAATTGCTGCAATGCCAAAATCAAGTGTCTCTGTGAGCTGGATGCCAGGGGAGGGCCAGGACCGTCTTGACTCACAGCTGTACCTCAGCATCTGGCCTATCAGAGGCTCTCGGCAAAGAATTCCTAGAGGAACGAACGAATGAATGGATTAGTGGCTAAGTGAAAGGCCTGGCAGGATGCCCTGACTCCCGTGGGGCCGGGAGGCCTGTGTTTACCCCGTATCTTGCGGGAGAACATGGTGTCCACAGGGAGTATGCTGGGGAGATGCTGAACTGGCACCGACACCGGGGCTGGCCAGCAGCCATCCTTAGCCAGGAGCCGGGATGGAGAAGGCCAGCCCTGCCCGTCAGACCCAGGGTCTCTGTCACTCCGTTATGCCAGGCAAAGACTTCCACCAGTCTGTGAGACAATCAGACACACAAAACAAGGACCTGAGGAAGGAGTCTGTGGCCATACCACCAGCGCTCTCTGAGCAGCTCCCCCCGGCCCATACCATCAGGAAAAAGCTCAGATCTGAGAGGTCAGGCTGGATGCCCAGTGTCATGCCAGAGAGAGGACTTGACATCAATCTTCCCGGGGGGGGGGCAAGGCTGTCATTTTTCTCTCCATCACATTAGACCCTTTGTGGACCCACCAGTCCTCTGCGGAGATACAAGCTGTGTTTTAGAGGGTTTCCTGCAATGCATTCATTCCTGTAGGTACCCACATGGACACCTCACCCTCAACCCCATGATGTGGGTCCACAGCCTGTACTAGGTGTGAACCCCGCTGTACCATTAGAGAGTGTTTCTCTGGTAAGTGAGTACGCAGCTCTGTGTAGCAACCCCGGCATATACAAATGTTTGTGAAGAACATGGTGTTGGTGTGTCCGTGAGTGTCTGTCTGTGTGTATCACCAGCTGTGTTCCTAGACATGGATACGAGGCTCTGTGCGCTTTCTTGTTCTCTGATGGGGCACCTCTACAAATGGTCTGTGGCCCAGGCCTGCCCTGATGCTGTGTGCACTCCTGGTCTAGCTTCCCTCTCTGCCAGGTGCCTGCCTGCTGACTCTCCCACGGTTTAGTCCCTCAAGTGTCTGACAGACCAGAAGAGCAGGAACTGGCTCTCCAATCCCAGGCTGAAGGGCTGAAGGGCAGCCCTGGGTGGGGAGGTCGCCAGGGCCTGCATTCCTGGCCTGAAGCTCACAGACTGGAATTTGTTCATTCCATTCATAACAGTCCCCGAAAGGGAGGGGGCAAAGCCCGGGTTAGTTATTAAGGGGGAATAAGAAAGAAGGGCTTCTTGCGGCTCCAGGCTGTGTATTCTGTTCACCCTGGCACAGACCCCAGTGGCTGAAATGCAGGGAGCACGCGACCTGTGTGCAGAGCAGCCTGGCTCTGGCCACCTCCTGAGCCTGCCCTTGGGGCACCTGCTACTAACTGGAGTTACCCTCTTCTAAGGACAGGGTGAACAGCCGGAGACTTGGGGCCTCTAGAAGGCAAACCTAGGTTCCCTGACGCCAAGGCAGTCCCATAGCAGTGGCTGGGACAAAGGTCAGACTGTAGTAGACCCAGGACAGTCAGGATAGCCAGGGCTGTACAGGTAACAGAAACAAGCAGGGTAGGACTTCACTACTCCCGTGAACAACCGTAGACTCTGGAAGACCAAGTCCAGGTGGCCATTCTTCTTCCATGCCCAGTACCAGGGCAGAAGAGAAGACCGAAAATTAGGAGGACACGAGAAGGAAGGGGGCTCCTCACCCTGGGTCCAGTTCGAATTTCCTGCTGGCTAAAAATCAGAAGCTTCAACAACACTGATAAAATCAAATTGCCGACAGATAAAGTGTGTTTCCTAAGATGTCCCACACAAAGTTGTTCAAAACAGAACGTGCTGTGTGCTAACATAGGGACACTATGTTGGTGACCTTGAAGCTTAGCCTGTTAGTGTTCCCATCATCCCTAATCTAAATGCCTGCCACAGACCTATTGTAATTTCACATTTAAAAGTATTTCACCTACCCATTTAATCCCAGTACTCGAGAGGCAGAGACAGGCTGATGGATCGATCTGTGAGAGGCCAGCCTGGTCTCTATGAGAGGCCAGCCTGGTCTCTATGAGAGGCCAGCCTGGTCTCTATGAGAGGCCAGCCTGGTCTCTATGAGAGGCCAGCCTGGTCTCTATGAGAGGCCAGCCTGGTCTCTATGAGAGGCCAGCCTGGTCTCTATGAGAGGCCAGCCTGGTCTACATAGTTAGTTCTAGGCCACACAGAATTACCAAGTGAAACCCTGTCTCAAACAGGACAAAACAAACAAACAACAACAAAAACAAAATGAAAATCTTCTCAGCCAGGTCTCATCAATTCTCAGTTAAGAAAGTAAAGGGACCCTGTTGAGTCTGTTCTGAATCCGAATGCAACTTCTGTCACCAAAGCCTGATGACATTACTTTGAATACATAGCACCACAATTCTCAAAGCCACACCTTTGGCACAGGGCTACCTGGGTCATAAATGAGCTTCTCAAACACAGCTTGCTGCCGATGTACGCAATGGGCAGATTCACACCGTTCCCCGAATCACAGAGTGCTGTCCCCTTATGGAGAGGCCAGCAGCTGCCCAGACTTGGGCTCTACAGGCCCGCGGTGCCCACAGGCTCTGGAAGGGACTCTTAGCAGCTATTCAAAGTCCAGCAAACAAGAACAAGCCGAGCCCCTGCCTGCAGCATTCACCCAGCTTGGCACTTTCCCCAGACGGGCACCCAGCCATCTCTCTGAGCACACATTTTCCTACGTGTCCAAGGTGTGAGAAAAGCAACAAACACTCTTGGGGCTGGACTCACCGGGAAGGCTTGGTTTTAAACGCTGTGTGTTTTCAACTCGATATGAAGTACATTCTGTAACTCCTGACCAAAATACCAACTGACGTAAAGCAAGCTCCTTCACAAAAAAATATTTTGCTTGGAGATGGATCCCTGAATGCTCACAGAGGGTAAAGTATCTCTTTCCCGGGCTGCGGCCTGAGAAGTAGTAATGGGGAGGGTCAGTCAGCCTCCCCTCCCCCTAGCTTCTCTGCAAAAACGCTACTGCCACAAAAGGACACAGAAATAAGACATTCAAGGAAAGCCACAGGGAAAGGATCCCTCCCAGCTGAAGAGCGAGTTCAGTTAGGTGGCCAGTTACAAAACAAACACACAAACCCTGTGGCTTGCCAAATACCCCAAAATAGTTGTAACAAAATATACCATGGGTAAAAAAGATCCCATTCACGATTCAGCAAGGGATGAGAAGTTCCTGGGAGTGAGCTAGGCAAGGAAACACACACCACTCTTACCTGAAGAAAAAAAAAAAAAACCAACCCGACACAGGGTCACTTAGCAAACAGAAACATGGCCTGGGGTTGAGAGACACCCAGCAGGAAAGGATGCCCATTTTCCAGCAAGAAGGATTTGATGAGGAAGCTAAGCCCGAATTATCTTATCAGACATTAAAGCTAAAATCTTTCGGACACTGAATTCCTGATATGGACACAAGAAAGAATAGGAAATGTGTGTGTCAGCCTGAAGCACAAATATTAACACGGGAAAAGATGACTTTTCAAGTCTGCTAAGGACGTTCTAGGCTTTTGTCCAATAATCCACTTGGGTTAGGGCTGGGGGTGCAGCAGTGACTGAGCGCTTGCCCAGCTCCTGTGAGGTCCTGGGTTCCAGACTCAGGACCAACGGGAGAAAATTGGGCAAATGACCAGTCCTTGAAATGGAATAAAGCTAGATTCCTGTTTCTTGTTCAGCTAGATTAAAGATTCAAAGCAACATGAAGCCACAAAAACATTCAGAGTGTATTTCTCTGAAAAATATATATAAAATCTAGGAGGGAAGAGTAAGCACAAAAAAGGTAGAGACAATAAAGCAAAAAATGAGTGATCTGTTTAGAAGTACAAATTTCTCTGTGTCAATAAACACAAACATGTCTCTGCATTAAAACTGAACTCTGTCAGAGTTGGAGCCATGGCTCAGTGGTTAAGAGCACTGGTTGCACATTCAGAGGATGAGGGTTCAATTCCCAGCACCCACACTCAGAACCATCTGCAACTCCAGTTCCAGGAGATCTGATGCTCTCTTCTGGCTTCCGTGGGCACTGTACATACATGCAGACAAGCATACATGCACATACACGCAGGCAAACATACACATAACAATAAATAATTAAAAACCAATATTTAAGAATGGATTCTATCTAGCAGCACTTGCCGCAGCCCCCTGACATCAGAAGACGGAGCTTGCTATGTCCATCTATCCCCGAGGACTCATCTGGTGGCTGAAAACAAAGCCAGCGCCCCAGACTTAATGGTCTTCACAGTCCTTTGGCTCTGCATCTCCCCAGAGGCCATCTGTTAAAGGCCCCCAGATTGGTGCTGGTGAGCCTGACAGGAAGTCTTCAGGTCCTCAGAGATATGCCCTGGAAAGGGAGTGTCTCTCTTTGACTTCTACAGCGTGGGCAGTTTTGTTCCGCCTGGTGCTATCACCATGATATGAAACCCTCCCTCAAAGCAGCAGGGCCAGCTGGCCACAGACAGAGACCCATGAAAGCCTGAGCCCAAACTAAGCCCTCTTTATAGCCATTCGTCCTGGTGTTATGTGATGCAGGACTGACTAAAAGATAGTTTACATCAAACATATAGGCTGCCCACTGGAATCCTGGGTCCAGGCACAGTGAGGGCCTGGGGAGGAAGCTCAGTGGGCAAAGTGCTGCTACACACTTGTGAACAAATGTGGGGACTGGAATTTGGACCCCCAGCACCCAGGTAAATGTTTAGTGGGCCTGGAGGCCTGCCTGTAATTCCAGCCCTCAGAAGGCAAAGACAGGGGATCCTTGGAGTTAGCTGGCTAGTTAGAGTACCTGAATCAGCAGCTCCGGATTCGACGAGGGATCCTGTCTCGTGTATAATGTGGAGAGCAACCATGTAAGAAGGGCAGTGGCCAACATTTGACACTTAAACACATGCACACACACACCCCACACAAGCATGCGTATACACACTACATACACATACAAATGCAAACACACACATGGAAGTGAGCCGCAATGGGGGCTCATGTCTATAATCCCAACACATGGATAGCCGAGGTGGGAGGATATTTTGGGTTTCAGGTCAGCCTGCATGACAGGTGAGTTCCTGTTTCAAAACCACTAATACACCAATGCAAGCAAAAACCTCCACAAAAGCACAACTTTGGAGACACTACCAATGTCACTGCAGATGCCAGGTGGTAATCAACCTAGAGACTTTTCTGAAGGCTATAATGTATGAGGAGAAGTCTTCTGGAACCTTCTCTGGGACCTGACAGATTTTTCAGGGGCCTCTTCTCTATACTGAAACAAACACACATATAAACAATCAATCTCTTCAATATTCCTCTATCAAGTGAGTCAATTTTCTTATGCTTATACTATCAATGACATGTTTTTTTAAGGGACAATACTAAACAGTATTGTGAAGGAATATTTCTAAATACAGGAATTGGGGGGGGGAGGACAAGCTGTCTACATTTGAACCGATTCTTACTTACATTAAAGTCAGCTAGAAAAATATTGACTCTCTACTTTTCGGTTTTCTTTTATGTAAATATGTTTAAATAGAGAATTGATTTGGAGAGCATGGCTAAATACATAATAATATAGGGGTTCAAGAATATGGGAAGAATCATTATCTTTACAAGGGAAATAAATGGCTGGGAGATGCTGCGACCAGCGAAGGATAGTCCCTGTGAGGGTGTGGTTCAGGCTGCCCAGGGGATGAGAGATAGAGTTGCTAGAGCAAAGGGAAGCAGTGAGCTGGGCTTGAGACCAAAGCCTCAAAGGACTGAGGACAGTCAAGTAGGCAGAGGCTCAGTATGGCCACGCCTTTGGGGGTAAATTCCCCTGAAGAGGCCTAGGCTCTGTTGCCAGGCTCCCAAGATTGATTCCAATTTTCCTCCAAGCTCTGTGTTCCCAGGTGCATGTCTCTACCAGTGAGACACTAGCCACAGCTCAGCTTCTTCCTGTATGAAATAGATATGAATAACCTGGATCAATCAGTCATTGGATCCAAGATAAAAGGCACAAAAGCCACGTGTCTCTAGTCCCTCCCTCTAGGGTAGTGGTTCCCAACCTGTGGGATACGACCCCTTTGGTGGTCACATATCAGATATCCTGCATATCAGATATTTACATTATGATCCATAAGAGGAGCAAGATTACAGTTGTGAAGTAGTGATGGAATGATTTTATAGTTGAGGTCAGCACAGCATGAGGAACTGTATTAGAGGGTCACACCATTAGGAAGGCTGAGAACCATTGCTGTAGGGTTTCCCAGCCTGACCCCACCCTACTTGTGGAATCATCTGAGTGACTTCTTCTCCCTTGTCCTTTCAGACCCAAAGGCTGGTGGCTCATAACTCGCCGGCCTGGGACCTTACTACCTCTTGGTCCCTTGCCTGCTGTTTGTGCCCTGATGGTCTTCAGCCCCTTCCCACATCCTCCTCCTGCTTCTACTGGGCCTTTGATTGACCCAAGTTCCATGTGAACTTTCTCTGCGTCTAACAGAACGTGTTTTCTTCTAGAACTTTCTCAGAGGCATCAACTCCTATTTAGAGGCAAAAAAATCACCTCAGCCCCAGTATGAACTCTGATCTCTGGGAAGATACCTGTGTCTTGGGCTGATTTTCACGGCACTAGCTATGGTACCCTTGCGTAAGAGACTGTACCCAATCCCTGCCTCCCTTCCTATCCTGCCACAGGCATATAGGCATGGCGGGGGCGGGGTGGAGGTGGGGAGCTGATCCTCAGTGGCCTGGAAACTGACAGGAAACTCTTGATAACTGCCGTCCTCAAGCTAATGGTCTTGGCCATTTTAATGAGAATAACTGGGGTGATCCACTAGAGACCTCCTACAAGATAGGACCCCCTTTGACACTCTCTCATGTGACTAGGCAGGGTCTTTAGATCGTCACCTGAGATTCCAGTCACTCCCATCTACGCCCCTCCCAGCTCTATCTAACTCCGTCCCAGCTGTATCTGGTCTCCGGTGACATGAAGGAAATAGAGACTGTGGAAAGTTAACTGAAAGGAGCCTTTGTGCAACTGTGGGGAACCCCATGTTGGGCGATATATTCTGGTGGTACACTGTTTGGGGTCACACATGCTTTTGTAAGTAACTGTGGTAACCTTGTTGTTTCTCTAGGTAGACTCGGTGCCCCCCTCTCCAGACCTTGCTCAGTTGTCAGTATCCTATCCAGATGTGTGGGTGTCTTACAGCTACAGGAAGAGTTAACAGAGCAGAAGTATGAGAAGGCGTCCCAAAGTGAAGGTCCGAACATCCCTGAAGGGGGAGAGTCTCAGACCCATGGCCTCGCCCCCACCCTTTCTGCCGACTCCTCCCTTCCCTGTTTCCTTCCACCTATTCTCCTGCCTTTCTAGTCATCTTCTCCTCCCTCTCTTCCTTCAGTTCTTCCCATCTTCCTTTCTTCTTTCATCCGTCCTCACCACCTCCTTTTTTTCCTTCCTCTCCCCCTCCCACCTTCCTGCCTTTTCTTTCCTGGGAGTCTGGGATGGGGAGCTCAGAAAAACAAATACGGTTTAACATAAAGATTGTAAGCAAA